GTTTGACGCACCCACCACTAGCCTAGCTTAGCACAAAGACTGGATGTAAATGGTTGCAGCTAGCATACTAATCCAAATAAGTGACAAAATAGCGCAAACATTTTCCTATTTACATGTTGTGATTTGTATAGTCACAGAGTGTACAAAAAACTACGTCACATGAGAGACAGACATATTTTAACAGTATAAATACTGGGAACTATATTCTCTGAAGGCGAAGCACTGCTACTTGGGCGGAGTGATAACCGCAGTACCTGAGACGTACCGTACCCAAACTCTGAACGAACTCTCTGCTCCTCACCACGGCGCGTCTCAGGTGCTGCGGTTATTACTCCGCCCAAGTAGCAGTGCTTCGCCTTCAGAGAATATAGTTCCCAGTATTTATACTGTTAAAATATGTCTGTGTCTCATGTGACGTAGTTTTTTGTACACTCTGTGACTATACAAATCACAACATGTAAATAGGAAAATGTTTGCGTTATTTTGTCACTTATTTGGATTAGTATGCTAGCTGCAACCATTTACATCCAGTCTTTGTGCTAAGCTAGGCTAGCGGTGGGTGCGTCAAACAGACTTATAGCACGCACGGAGATGAAAAAGGTATGTATGGACTTATCTAACTCTGGGGGATAAGGTGAATAGGCTAAAGTCCCAAAAAGTCGGAGTGTTCCTTTAAACTGTCCCAACTTCCATCAAGACTTCATATTGACCTTAAACTCCATTTCATCCACTAGGGCTAGGTTGAAAATATTGATTTCTCATTTTTAATCGATATTTATTTAACAAACCAATATTGTTTTGTATATGTCAAGATCAATCTTTTATGCTGTTTTGTGTTTTTAGTTGTTGCATAATTAACACATTATTTGTAGAGCGCCTCCCATCCAATAATCTCAACAAACTTTGTGTAATCAAATAATCATATTTTTACCAGTTAGTGATGCCTTAGAGTTGAAAACCTAATCATGAAAACTAGTTATGACAGCCACCCCTTAAATAATCATATTTCAACTACAAAATGGAGTAGAAACTAAGGCTATGTTCACAGTCCAAATCCCAAAATGTGTGTATCCGATTGGAATCTGAACTAAATTATTGACCATCCACACTGTGTATCGCAACTGTTCAGATCTGGTTTGTGTGTCCCGTGGCGCTTTTTCGTGTTCCGGAATATCTGCATTGGTTTCTATGGCAATGACATTACGTTAGTAGGTATAGGCCAAAAACAACAACTGAAGCAAACTGGAGGAGTTTACAATACAGATGTTGTCTTATTTACAACATGACAATGTGAAGCCACCGCACTGGACTACTACGTCTTCAGGGCCGGCATCAGAAATGTATGCACAGCTTTATTCTGTGCTGTCATCTACGCCAGTCTCAAAAATCAATATTGTCATTTTCTACTCAACCGGCACTTTGTAAAAACACAACCTTGTTTCTGCAGCGACATTCAGCATGTTCCCTATAACAACGTCTGACATGTTTATGTTTTACGTGGCGTGAGAAAGTGACAAACCACGCGAAATCCGATTAGAGTGGTCAGACAGAAACAGATTTCCAGAAATGCAATTTGTATATGATTTCAAACCATATATGAATTCTCACATATGAACTGCCTAATAAGCAATTTAAAAGACTGAAGACTGGTGATTATTTTATCTAAATATAAATATGGTTTCCGTTTAGTTAACAGCATTCGATTTTTTCCTTAAGAAAAACTGAAATATTTCCAAATTAATCGATATTGAATAAAATTGAGAGCTTGTGAATCGAAATCTAATCAAATTGTGAAATCTGTCAAGATGCATACACTACAGCACAATATAGTTGGGTATATATGACATAGGGCTGGGCGATAAAACGGTATCGGTATTTATGGACGGTACACCATTGTCGGTAACGATATATAAAAAATGTTCGATATAACGCTCGATGTTTTCATTAAAATGCGCGCACATCGCCCGCACAACCACCACAACATTGCCCAACATCAAATGACAAACGTAATGAAAGGGGAACTAAACCGTGCTACTCATTATTTTGTGCTTCACGGACCGTTCATCAGTTTGGACCAAAGCAGCGCGAGCCGATCTTGATCAAGCGACACCGTTACTACACAGTGTTAAGAGATCCAGTAAAGAAAGCAATTGAATTCACCACAGAAGTAATAACATTGCTGCGAGATCTAGTGAGAAGCATTCAAATTTCTCCGTTATTAACGAATCAAACAGCGCTGATGTGGAAACCAGTAGAAACACTGTGCCATGAATGAACTAGTTATAGGCTTTAAGTCCACAGATCAGCAACATTCCCCATGGATTTAATGTAGTAACACTAACATGGAAGTTTGGCAGGAATAGTAAAATGCTTTCAAGTACGTCACACATCTTTTTCCAGCACTTCAAAACTAAAATATTATCATATTTAAATGTTATTTTTAAATGTGATGACTAGTGTTGTCGAAATATTAGTACTTCGGTACCAAGTCGGTACTAAACAATTTTAAACGTCACGGTACCGCATGCATGCACAAAGGGCGTGAAGTTGCATCCTCTTCATGATAGCGCTGAGACATGGCGACCGGCGGCGCTGCTGATGTGGTGTCTGTGTATATTAAACTGCAAAAAGACTATTTAAATATTAACCCTGCATGTTCTGCTTGTCTCTGTGTGAATGAACGGCTCAGACGCGCGGTTTCATTTAACGTTACCTCACACACACACACACACTGAAGCACGAGTGACGCTCGCGCTGTTTTCAGTCTCTGCTACCTCACGATATGATGACATGATTCATGATTCAATTCATCTCCGAGAGTCACTTCATGAGCATTTTACCGTTTAATTTGAGAAAAACTATCGTCATCATACACGCACAGAAACTCAAAGGTCTTCACGGCAACCCGTCAAAATAAAAGTTCGGTTTAACTTAAAGAAATAGACAGAAATAATTATATTAGGCTACTGTACAATAGATAACTACGTCTCTATTAATTAAAGATACTACTACTAATAATAATAATGTGTGCATAGAAGGTTGCTTATTTTTCGCTTGATTTTTTTATAAGCAATATTTCTCAATAACATCAATATTTTCGTTTAATCAGCATGTAGCCTTCAATGCTTTCATACATTTACCGTCATAAAAAATAAAGTCATTGAATTGAATATTCTTTTTCAAATAGTTAAATTGGAAAAATAGTTCAAACTGATTTTGCTGTGGTACCGAAATTGGTACCGAGAACCGTACAATTTTAATGGTATCGGTACCGACTACTGGAATTTTGGTACCGTGACATCCCTAGTGATGACCAAAACAATATTTGTTCATTCTTCAAATATTACCCCCATTTATAAAACTAAAAGTTCCAAGATGTAGGAAAACTGACTTATTTTTACACAATTTTTCTTTTAATACATTTTTTTTTAATCGAAGGAAATTTCTCTGATTTCTTTTTGGTGTATATATAATATAAGACATAAAGAAAATATTTTTTGTTTACATTTTTTTTTTTGACTGCTAAAACTAATATAATTTGTTGTTTGCCTTAATAATGTCGATAAATAAAAAACAGTGGTTCAAACTTTTCTACGATATGAAACTATATTGTGATATATTTTTTAGCTATATCGCACAGCCCCTTTATGGGGGACATTTATGGTTATTACAAATGCATATATTACAGCCAACAAATTATGTTGTTAACATTTTTAAATAATGGTTACACTTTTTACTGCTTCGAGGGGATCTTTAACAAGATGCCAAACTTGACCTATGTAGCAGATCTGGTAAATATGAATGATAGATGCAAAACTTTTACACCACCAATATTTATAAGATGCAGCACTAACAATAATGAAAACATCCAACGGCACACAGCCAGGCAAATTAAGTAGATTTATCACTTTTGTCCACGACTGAACACGCAATACGCATGAGCATGACATCACCTCTTTCACAAATTTGTGTTTTTTTTGGTTTACACAAAGAAGATAATGGTATCATTTTTAAAAAAAAAAACGTGCATTTTGAAACCAGTTTTCAAAAGTTTACGTTTTCAGGCCTCCAAAACACCTTTCTCACCTAATTGAACTGCCAAAACATGTTACAAAGTTTTCAATTTTTAGTTACAATAAAAACGGTGTCGTGTAAACTGCCCCTCACTATCTAAAAGATGATTTGAAAGATTGAAGTTAATGGTCACAAAAACTGTTTGGTTCCCAACATTTTTCACAAAATCTTTTATACTCTACAGATGAAAGAAAATCATACAGGCATGGAACGACACGAGTGACCAAATCATGAGAGAATTTTCATTTTTGGGTGGACTATCGTAAATATGTAAAGGATACATTGATTCTGCTTATTTTAACCAACTGAACGAAATCATTCTAGCAAAACTGAAAAGTTATTTCCAAAGAATGTTTACCATACCAATAAATTATTGTGGATCTTTCTAAGAAAAAAGAATTCTGCATTATAACTTTATTGGTGATTTGAAACCATTTTTGATTATCACAAGTTAGTCACACCAGATCTTTCAAGTCAGCTTATCTTTGATAAATGATATAGCAATCTTCATGTAGATAGCAAAATAAAGTGTCTTGTTGAAAACTCTGGAAAAATGATAATGCTAATACCTGATTTGAAGAGAAAACACTCTGTATAGACCTTGAACATGAAGATAAAGCACATAGTGCTCAGTCAAAGCCTTACATTCTCCTATCTGAAACGGCATCATTCATAAAGTGAATGCAGGGTGCTTGTAAACAATTAAAGCAGGTCCCACTTCAGGTACTGAGATTTCATTTACTTGTGGTCTGTTTACCACAAAGACAGCAATCTGTTCAACTTGTACATAAGATGTCCAACTAGTGTTTACATAGAAACAATTATGCACTAATTAAGATTTACAACATGGATCTAGGCACCTGTATCAGCCTCAGATCTGTGCCTCTTATTGAATTAAAAATATGACTCCCTGTCTCCCCTCTTACCTCCTTCTCGGTCTCTCCCCCGGTGTGGATGGATGGCTTTTGCTCTGCCATGGCCGGTGTTATCCATGTGTTTATTTTCTGGACTGTCTGACCGCCGCAACATCTTGCATGGTGGAGTGGCGTCGTTGTTGTCACGCATCTTCTCATGTCTGTGATCGGGGTGACTCTTGGATGAGTACTTAAGAGTCTGTCAAAACATGATATTTCTGCATTGAACTCTGCTGCACAATTACTCTCTGACATGCAAAGTACAACAGAGCTGGATTATAGCTGGTCTACTATGGTCATTAGCTAGCTGACCAGCTTGTCTAGAATGGTCTACCAGCTATTGACCATCATCTAAAATGTTCCAAAACACCAAAATACTTCATAGGAGCATAATGTTTGTCATAACATACTTTGCACGTCATTGCAAGACTGAACTGAGCACAGAAAAGCCTATAAGCATCTTTCTCTTGGTATAACATATAATTAAGCACCTCTGGATGGTCTACACAACAATAACACTCGTTTTATTGGAATTTTGTTGCATTTACTCGCTCGCAACTATCAAGACTGTTTATAAACAACCTCGTACCCTTAAATTCGTGTTTACGTATACAACGGTTTCTCTAAAGTAACAATTTAGAACCTTGAATCAATGATAATAAACGTTACTATATTGGTAATTTATAAGTAAATCGCTGTGGCATACAGGCCTGATGTAGCCGCTAGCGAGCTAACGTTAGCCTGTTAAAAGTCGCTAGCGCCCTGAGCGCATTTAAAACATGATAAATTCGACGGGCAGGCGACTAATGACAGCACAAATTTATGTTTGCAATGTAATGTAAATGTGTGTGTAATTATAAGCAGAACCCGGGGAGAATAAGACACTTTTTGCTGTGTTTTACGCACAGAGGCCTAAACTGCTTCAAAAGCCTGCACTAGATTTACCCCATTTTAATCTTATTTGTTTCAGATCTACCTGGTAGGGCTGAGAATCCCTTCGGTCGGTGCACCTACAAAATAAAACAAGAAAAGGAGACAGAGGATTAGTTAAAAAAAAAAAACATATTGACGAACAGTGGCAGAAATTGCAACAGCTGAATCGGCTTCCTTAAGTTTCTACTTATTTTGGTTTGGCTAAAAATGGCGGATTGTCAAAGCGGAGAAGGAAAATCGGAGTATAAAACAGAGCTCTTTACCCATCGCCGAGTCTTGGTTGTTTCCTTGCATACATTACCATCAATGCCGTGTTAGTGTGTGTGAAGTAGATGTGAAAGATTGGCGACTTATTTTGATTTTGGAGTGGCCTATCGACGACCCGATCGCGTATATAATTTTAACAGTTCTATTGGAGTCGCTCTTCGCCTCTGCTAGTCAGTAGAGCGCCCTCGGTCCATCTCCCACTCACACATACACCAAAACTCTGCCCCTATCTACAGAACAGCGAAGCTCAGCCTTCCTCACACACCTCAATCCGGGTTACTTCGAGGCTCGCTTCGGCTCGACTCGGCGACTCTCGGGTCATCCCGGCCACTGGTTGAATTGATCTTTGGCAATGCATGAAGTAGGGATCTGCGTGGATGTTCGCAGGGCTAAAAACGCGTAAAAATACACTGAGCTTGGCAAACTAATAGAGAATAGCGATGTGCCGAACGAGGTTTCTGAAGCAATGTGAGGCTTTTACTACAAACTGTGTTGGTGCTTCAAAGCTTTTGACATAGTGCTCTACTTCGCCATCTGGTGGTCAATACAAATTAATACACCAACTGTGTCATTCAGATGTTTTGTTCATTGGGATGTCATTGTAAGGTTCCTGTGTTAAATTTGTTTTGTTCTGACTTTGATTGTTACATTTCTTCAATAAGACTGTTAAAAAACAAAAAATCTGTGAAATATTTAAAATGCTATGATACAGTCTTCAATACCCCTGGTGTTTTGTAATATCCTTATTTGTTAAAATTGAATGTGAGCTATGTTTTCTTTATTTTTTATTTTTTTTGTCTTGACTGTTCATATTTTGTTATTATTTGTATGTTAATTTTCTGCAATAATTTTTTTTTTTTAAATAAAAAAATAAAAAATGTCATTGTAAGGTTTATTTGTATATTTAATAAGCATATACAGGTCCTTCTCAAAAAATTAGCATATTGTGATAAAGTTCATTATTTTCCATAATGTAATGATACAAATTAAACTTTCATATATTTTAGATTCATTGCACACCAACTGAAATATTTCAGGTCTTTTATTGTTTTAATACTGATGATTTTGGCATACACCTCATGAAAACCCAAAATTCCTGTCTAAAAAAATTAGCATATTTCATCCGACCAATAAAAGAAGTGTTTTTAATAAAAAAAAAAAGTCAACCTTCAAAAAATTATGTTCAGTTATGCACTCAATAGTCAATACTTGGTCGGGAGTCCTTTTGCAGAAATGACTGCTTCAATGCGGCGTGGCATGGAGGCAATCAGCCTGTGGCACTGCTGAGGTGTTATGGAGGCCCAGGATGCTTCAATAGCGGCCTTAAGCTCATCCAGAGTGTTGGGTCTTACGTCTCTCAACTTTCTCTTCAAAATATCCCACAGATTCTCTATGGGGTTCAGGTCAGGAGAGCTGGCAGGCCAATTGAGCACAGTAATACCATGGTCAGTAAACCATTTACCAGTGGTTTTGGCACTGTGAGCAGGTGCCAGGTCGTGCTGAAAAATGAAATCTTCGTCTCCATAAAGCTTTTCAGCAGATGGAAGCATGAAGTGCTCCAAAATCTCCTGATAGCTAGCTGCATTGACCCTGCCCTTGATAAAACACAGTGGACCAACACCAGCAGCTGACATGGCACCCCAGACCATCACTGACTGTGGGTACTTGACACTGGACTTCAGGCATTTTGGCATTTCCTTCTCCCCAGTCTTCCTCCAGACTCTGGCACCTTGATTTCCGAATGACATGCAAAACTGAGCAACAGTCCAGTGCTGCTTCTCTGTAGCCCAGGTCAGGCGCTTCTGCCGCTGTTTCTGGTTCAAAAGTGGCTTGACCTGGGGAATGCGGCACCTGTAGCCCATTTCCTGCACACGCCTGTGCACGGTGGCTCTGGATGTTTCTACTCCAGACTCAGTCCACTGCTTCCGCAGGTCCCCCAAGGTCTGGAATCGGTCCTTCTCCACAATCTTCCTCAGGGTCCGGTCACCTCTTCTCGTTGTGCAGCGTTTTTTTGCCACACTTTTTCCTTCCCACAGACTTCCCACTGAGGTGCCTTGATACAGCACTCTGCATCCTATTTGTTCAGAAATTTCTTTCTGTCTTACCCTCTTGCTTGAGGGTGTCAATGATGGCCTTCTGGACAGCAGTCAGGTCGGCAGTCTTACCCACGATTGCGGTTTTGAGTAATGAAACAGGCTGGGAGTTTTTAAAAGCCTCAGGAATCTTTTGGAGGTGTTTAGAGTTAATTAGTTGATTCAGATGATTAGGTTAATAGCTCGTTTAGAGACCCTTTTCATGATATGCTATTTTTTTGAGACAGGAATTTTGGGTTTTCATGAGCTGTATGCCAAAATCATCAGTATTAAAACAATAAAAGACCTGAAATATTTCAGTTGGTGTGCAATGAATCTAAAATAGGCTATATGAAAGTTTAATTTTTATCATTACATTATAAAAAATAATGAACTTTATCACAATATGCTAATTTTTTTAGAAGGACCTGTATATGTCATTAGCAAGATGGCGGTGTGTGTGTGTGTGTGTGTGTGTGTGTGTGTGTGTGTGTGTGTGTGTGTGTGTGTGTGTGTGTGTGCAGCGATAGTTTCATAGTTTTTGTATTTCACAAATGAAATGTACAAATATCAATGAAAATAAAGACTTTCTGTTCCTTCATTTTTACTCGCATCAAACTTGTCTTTTCACCTTTTCTAGGCCAATAAATTAGGCCTATGTGATTTTTCATTGCACAATTTGTTGTGTTCCTTACAAAACAACACAGACATGCGCATTGTTAAGAAACACAAATACAAAAGCAAGCAATTACATATTTTCATTCAAGAATAATTAACATCAATACACCACGTTAAAAAAAAACTACATACGTATTGGCATGACTGATATATTTATAATATTGCACTAAATGGATAGCGTGTGTGTGGGAATAGACTGTAAAAAAAAGAGCAATTGACGCGCTTTGTTTTTGAGCCCGGCGTGACGTGTCAGCTTCGTTTCCACAGGTCACGTGACAGCCGTATCGATGCAGTGTGTGTCGAAAACTCAAGACGTGTTTCGACACTGGGTGTCGACCTACCCATCCCTAATAGAGAAATATGATTTATGAAGCTTAGCTAAGTTCAAGCTCTACTCTGCAGATGTTGAGAAATGTTGAGTTTCAGTGGCTGGAATTTAAACTCAATACTGAAATCTACTGGACATGTTGAGTCAGTGCATAGCGCCAATGAGACGAACGCAGAAAGGTCCTGATGCAGCATGACTCACTGACACAAGCGAGTCTTTTTGCTACCCGATCACTAGGCTATCTCTTCAGAGGAACGGAGACTCTTCTTAAGTTAATATGAGTAAAAAAGCATTAGTGGCAGAAATCCCATGTTTTGTTCATCTAACACAATTATTAGGTTAACATGAAAAGTAGTCTGCTGAAATGTCTGCCAGCAGCAACTACAGCTGTGAGTTTTCTTGGGTTGTGTGTGTCTCTGAGTCTTTGCACATTTAGACTAGATTTTTGCCATGCAAATTTTTTGCCAACTCTTCCAAATGAGATGGAGAATGTGCATGGAGAACAATGTGCAGGTCATACAGATTTTCAGTTGCATTTTATTCCAGAGTTAATCCAGATTTCAAACCCTGTGTCAACTAATTTATTTGTATAGCGCTTTATATAATACAGATTGTTTCAAGGCAGCGTCACGGAAATAAACTAGAAAATTACATCGTGGGCAAAATCCATCAATTAATAAATAACTTCAATTTTAGCTTTAAAACAGCTGTTAGACAATAATGTCATTATGCAGCTCAATTTAGTTCAATAACAGTGTTAATGTTGCAAAGTTCATCATCAAATTGAATTAAGCTTTAAAGCAAATTTAATTAAGCTATAAAGCAGCTACAGAAGACAATATAATTATTCAGCTAAAGTAAGTTAAATATTGATTCAATTTGGTTCAGTGAAAGTGTCGATGTTGCAAAGTTAATCAGTTTTGAAACAAATTCAATTCAGCTGGAGCTTTACAGAAACAACTTCAAAGGCATGAATAATAGTGGTGTCACTATCCATCTCATTTCAGTTGTTTTGTCCTCATTTTCCCATTGTGCAGTGTTTTTGGGCAAAGATCTTAACTTTGAGATCTTCCAGAAGGTTTTAGGTTTTATCTCATGGTTATATCAAGCAGGCATGACTTTAATGTTGGCTTCTCACATAATTCATGTCTTTATAACTCTCCCCATATGACAAAACCAAAGTGATTTTCTGATGTATGTCTTAGCCATTTTCATTTGATCCAAAAACACATTTATCCATTTTCTTTCGATATGATGTTCATATGATTTGGCTAAAGTTTTTCCTGTCTTTTTATTTGATTCTCTACAGTTTTTCCTCCTCATAACTTAATCTTGAATATCCACAAACAGCATAGTTAACATAATATATAATCAAGTTATATAACGTGGTTTACAGGTGGATTTAAATTGGGTACCTTGCTAATGATTATTCATTTGTTCATTTGTTTCTTTCACTTTCCACTCATTTTACATTGAACGATAATTATTTCTATAGAACTGGGAACTAACCTATAATTTAACATAAGAAAATAAAAAACGAAGACTTTCTCTGGCAGCCTGATTAGATGATACTTCGATAGCTTTTATAGAGAAATTATGAATTAATTATGACAATTGTTACAAATAAGCTACTCTAAACAAAGCTATAAATTATACAAAGCAAATAATATTTCACAGGCATTTGGGACTCTGTAATGCTGGAAAATAACTTTTAACATCGGTGTTAGCTCACTTTTTGAAGACAAACTGTTTATTCTTACAATGGAAGCAGGTGCATCAGCACACTGACTGTCTGTGCCCTTTCATATGAGCTCCTTCTGCCTCTTTGCAGATACATTTTCCAGAATCAGTTCACTCATTTACCTGCACAATAGTGCAAATATAACAAGTCACACTATTACGGTAGTATTCTAAAATATTACCAATGAATATTTATTTTTAATTAATTAAGCTATTGTTGGTCCAAATAAGACATTACATGTGGGTTATTCTCAGCACAGCAAATATATATATATATATATATATATATATATATATATATATATATATATATATATATATATATATATATATATATATACCAAAACCCTCAGAAGAATCTATTAGGTCAAGAAGTTTGTTTTCACGCTCGCATCTGATTAA